AAGACTGTTACCCAAAGGGGATGGCCGACAGGTGTGTAAACACCACCATGCACTCCACTGATCATTCATGAGCATAATGCAAGTGTGTAATGTACGCTGCTTATGACGACAGAAAATTCTCCCCCGGAAATTTTATATGGTCCCTGTTTCTAGAAAATGCTTTCCATATGAATAGCAAGAGAAATTAAGGCCATTTTAGCTGTCGCGCAATTTGAAATTTTTATTTCAGGAGGGTTCTGCCTCATAGCCGTTAATATTTATAAAAGAGTTTTCTCAAGAAATGCCAGCAATCGACACTATGAAATGCATTATCGCTAACCTTCAGATAACCGAGGGGTGGGGAGGGAAGGGACTGCACCGAAAATGTAACAGAAAAGGGGGCATTTGTCCTTTTCATACACGATTCTCACAGTTGTGTAAGTCAGAATCTCAAAAACTATGGAATGGAATTAAAACAATCCTACTGACCATTATCACTATCAACCAATGTCTGAGCAATGTTTACTACAGCTGTTCACCGACCTGCCATGGCCATTTGGGAGTGTAAAGGTCAAAATGTGAGAGAATTCAGCGGGCTTACTTTCATGAAGATGAAGCTCTGGAAGTGATGTGAAGGGTGGAAGGATAGGGAGCAGGACATGGGAAGGGTGGAAGGATAGGGAACAGGACATGGGAAGGGTGGAAGGATAGAGAACAGGACATGGGAAGGGTGGAAGGACAGGGAAGGAGCAGGACATGGGAAGGGCGGAGCAAATCCCGTCAGCAGAAAAGGAACCGGGAGTTCCGGAACGGATAGAGTCCCTGCGGCCACGGGCCTGCTCGGGGAGGCAGCAATTTAGAAGGAAGAGGAAGCGGAGGAGCCGGCATTCTCAGCCGCGGAAGGAAGCCGTGAGCGTTGGGGCTACTCACCCTGGGGTTGAAGGCCAGCATCTGAGGGTCGTTGGGGTCAACCACGGACGGATATGGCTCGAAAATGACCACTTTCCTGGGAGATTCCAACGCAGACCTGCACATGGACACCAGCAGGTCCACCACCTTCAAACACACACAGGGGACAGTTACCAACCTCCCGGCTTTGCCAGGCGCCTGGCCTGTGGCTCCCTCTCACGGTGGTCGGTCAGGGGAGATTCGGGATTGCTATCAGCCCCCCAAATCTGCCTGTGAGACTAGACCAGATTCAACCACAGCTGACCATTAACTTAAAGCAGTGGTTCTCAACCTGTGGGTCGCGACCCCTTTGGTGGTTGAACGACCCTCACAGGGGTCGCCTAAGACCATCCTGCATATCAGATATTTACATGACGATTCATAACAATAGCAACATGACAGTTATGAAGTAGCAACGAAAATAATGTTATGGTTGGGTCACAACATGAGGAACTGTATTTAAAGGGCCAGAAGGTTGAGAACCACTGATTTATAGGAATACCACCTGTTGCTTCCAATTACTCAGTCCTCATACCCCTTCAGTAAGTGTTAAGTATACTTATGTAACTTTAGGTTGTGGATCATCTGCCACTCTACTCCTTGCCCCCACTGTACGTTGTTAAAATAGTACAGGACTGCAGAGTATGTTTTTGTCTAGGGATGGCCTAGCCCAGTGATGGCGAACCTATGACACGCGTGTCAGAGGTGACACACAAACTCATTTTTTTGGTTGATTTTTCTTTGTTAAATGGCATTTAAATATATAAAATAAATATAAAAAATATAATTCTTTGTTTTACTATGGTTGCAAATATCAAAAAATTTCTATATGTGACACGGCACCAGAGTTAAGTTAGGGTTTTTCAAAATGCTGACACGCCGAGCTCAGAAGGTTCGCCATCACTGGCCTAGCCTCCCTTAATTAGCTTTTTTTCTTTTTCTATGACTTTTCTTTCTAGATTAGTAACTTAGTTATGCTCCGTAAATGAAAATAAATACGAAGCCAACTGAAATTCTGAAGGAACTGCAGGAAGTCATACACTTAGGCAACTTCCTAATTCATTTTCCTTCCAGAAACAGGGACGGCTTCTCTGCCTCCGCACGGCCTTTTTATCTGTTTTTCCACTTTTCTTCCTCTGCCATAAACCCCGGGACTGTCAAACCGCGTGCTCACTCTCTCTGACAGGCTCTGCCCATTTTCTTCTCGTCTAGTCTAAAAACCAATAGCGCCCAGTTTATGGCACCACAGCCCACAGGTAAGTCTCCCGTAACACCTGTGGCGGCTCCCGTGCCGGCGTCACCCCGTGGGAAAGCATCGCACCGCTTCCCACGCCACAGGCGCGGGGCCAGGCCTCCCTGGGCACCCGCGACATGACCGTCAGGTTCGGACGGACAGCGGGACACTCCGTGCCTCACGGGGACCAGCGGCCAGTCTGCTTCCACCCTCAGCCGTCAGACACGCGCCCGAATAGCAGGTGCAGAGCTGGCGAACCGGAACCAGGTCTGTGCATCCACGGGGTCCCCGGCGGTACCTGGGCCCCGGTGGCGATCTCGTCGGCAGCCTCGTTCATCACTCCCAGCGTCTGGAAGGCGAACACGCACAGCTCGCGCTCGCACACGGTGGGCTGCAAGGGAAGGGGGGCGTTACCGCCTGCCGGCCCACCGCCCGGTTCCAAAGGGACGGGGTCCCGCGTGGCACGTGGGAAAGGGAAAGTCTGAGACGGCCGAGGGGAGAGGCATCACAGCGCGTTACTGCATGGAGATGTCTCTACTGGAGTCACAGCCGTAACCAACCGCTGGCGGATCCAGTCACAGACAGGGCTAGAAATCCGTGTCGGCGAGGCGTGGCCACCTGCACCAGAATGCTTGAGCGACAGACAAAAACATCCTTCAACTGCCCTGGCTGGTTTGGTTCAGTGGATAGAGCATCAGCCTGCAGATTGAAGGGTCCCGGGTTCGATTCTGGTCAAGGGCACAGGCCTGGGTTGCGGGCTCGATCCCCTGGGTGGGGCGTGCAGGAGGCAGCCGATCAATGGTTCTCTCTCATCACTGATGTTGCTCTCTCACCCTTACTCTCTGAAAATCAATAAAAATATATTAAATACATACATATATATAGTATAGATATATATATATATATCCTTCAATTGAAAAGCCCATCTCTCCTGCCTCATATGCACTCGCACATGAGATGTATAAAAAGCACATTCCTAAGCTGTACTAACAAGTACAGTGAAACCCCAAATCCGCGTAAAAGGAGTAAGAAAGGAGAAGGCCACCTGCTCGCGAGCCGCGGTTTGCCAACCACGGTCCTACGTCATTGTCTTCGGAAGAAGCACGACTCCCTCACTTGCTCCCCAGCTCTTGAAAGATGGGTTTTGTCGCAAAGATTTTCGCCTTCCATAACCTCCCGAGGTCACGGCCCTGAGACACGCCATGCCACTGCTCCGAAGAGTGCTCATCTCTCAGGTCGGACGCTGTGTCGTGTGATTTATCTTTTCTCCGAGTCACGGCGCGCTAGGCAGCGATGAGGCCGAACGCGGTGCCATCCCCGGGCTGCCGTTCACTCGGCAGAAAAGGCATCGTTAGTGCCGCTGCCCCTCTGCCGGCTCCTCTCAGAGGCCACTGGCCTCCGCTCCCGGCTGGGAGGGCCAGCCCCACTCGGAACACCGTTTCTGGTCAGAATGGGCGCCTGGGTGGCTTTGTGGACGTGGAGCGTAACCAGTCACAAAGGTTTCTGGCTGATGTTCCCCTAAGAGAATTTTTTAAAAAACGATCTACTTCCTTTTGTCAGTCTTAAATGTGCAGTTTGATTCCATTTCAGAAACATTGGTTTTAGAGAGAAAGAGTATGGGAAGGAGTGGGGGAGAGAGAGAAGGCGAGAGGGGGAGAGGGAGAGGGAGAAGGAGAAGGAGAGGGAGAGGGAGAGGGAGAGGGAGAGAGAGAGAGAGAGAGAGAGAGAGAGAGAGAGAGAGAGACTTGTTGTTCCACTTATTTATACATTTATACATTCACTGACTGATTCTTGTATGTGCCCTGACCTGGGATCAAACCCACAAACCCTGGCGTATCAGGACGATGCTCTAACCAATGAACAGCCCAGCCAGGGCTTACTGTTACCTGTCTTAGTGTTCGTTATTATAGTGCCTTCAAGAAGTGAGGTCCTACGATCTAAACTGTAAACCTAGGGCCAGGGCCTCTCACCACTGTACATCATATTTGCAACTTAGTTCTTAATTCATCGCTAAAATCTTTCTCGCTAAAAAAGAAACTAGAAACACGGAACCTCTGTCTTTCAGGCTGGAACAGCCATGCTCCGGACTCTTCTCCCGTTCTGGAGGACAGACATATTGGGGCAGGAAAGGTTTACTGGACCTTTAGAGACAAGA